TAGAGCGGTTTTCATTTGAGTGTCGAAAAGTAATTGGTTTTGCACTTTCTACACGATGCGATTGGCTTAAAAGATTCGCGCCACCTTTTCATCCAATCAGAAGTAAAACCAAAGCCAATTGTGACGCGCTCGCATGCATTTTCCCGCGCTTTGCGTCAGCCACATGTAATTACTTCGAGTTTTGATTGGTTCAATGTATTGTCTGTGTCCTATGTGATTGGCCAGAGTAATTACTTTGGTTTTGGTTTTACGACACTCAAACGAAAACCACTCTATTATAACTATTTCTTCTATCCAAGGACAATTTCAAAATGGAACAAACTCCCAAGGGAAATTGCATTGTCCAGTTCACCCGCTGCGTTTAAAACTATTTGCCAAACAAACAACCTTAAAGACAAAGGAAACTTTTAATATTATGTCTTTTTCTTTCTATTCAAAATAAAATTTCATAGTTTTAAGCCAAAGAGAGGTAAATCCAGAGCTATTTAATATCAACCGATCTAATCCCTTCAAAACCTTTCGGTGAGTAATAGAGTAGGATTTCAGCAGCTTGAAAGAGTCTGTAGCAACCATTAATCCACAAAGAATGTGGTGAACTGGTGGAATAAAGTCAGTTGGAAAGTTTATTTGAGTTTGGGTTTCCTGTTGAGCACCAGAGAATTTTCCTAGAAGACTTGAGGCTAACAAGCGAATCCACATGTCTGTCCAGTCTTCAATTTCAGCAAGACAACTGTACTCATTTTCTTTGCTTAAGTATGACTCATACAACCTGACAAAACAGAACAATCCTACTATAACCCTGGAGTAAAACTGATGAGGAATTATGTCCAGGAGTTCTGTACATTCCAGCAATAAGGTGTGCCGTTGCTCTGTAGTTAGTTCATAAAGAAAGGCTGACACCAGGTCATTTTTGTTTATAAAGTCCATAGGATTCGGCAGTTCAACCTTGATCGGTCCAGTCAGTTTCCTCCTTTGCTGATCCTCCACTCTGAAAACAAAATGAAATTGTCTTGGTCCAAAAGCAAAGATTTTAGGCATAGTATTGCAACTTAATGCAGTTAAGTGAAATTTACTGCAGGTAACAACAAGGAGCACCATCTTGTGTTGTCGGTCACTGGTCAGTTTGGTGGTACAGGCAGGTGTGACGAGTGCCATTGCGTAAACGGTTGTATTTGTTATGAACATTAGTGTTACAAAACCGTAATGTGGCAATGTGAATATTTAAGTAGGCTATATAAATTGCTTTTTGATTTATTAAACTAAAGTGAGCATATTTCCCTCATGTAGCAGTCTCCTACAAGTGTTTCAGCAGGTTCAATGTCAGCCTGCTTGTATCAGCTCCATGTGCTTTGTACAGCATCTTGTGATGGCCACCAGGCTTCGTTTAACCACTGGAACTTGCATGAATCCCCATCCCTTCCCCCTTTTTTTGAAATTCCTATCATTTTTACAGGAGTCTTGTTCAGTTGGGGTGGAGGCTAATAACTGGGAGACATTGATTTATTAGCCATGGGGGGTGAGGAGGGGTAATTCCATCAATGGGCTAGCTGTGCCAAAGGTAGAAGCCCCTGGACATCACTTTACATGCCCCAACAAGAAGACACAGTAATCAGTTGTTTCTGCTGAATTACAGGCACCAGACCAACAAACACATCATTTACACAATCCATTTAAACAGGCACCATTCAGGAAGTGCTGCCCACTCCTCCACAAATAATGTCAGATTAACCATAGTGTAAAGTTACCCAAAGTAGAGCACATTCACCCTGGATTTGGGACAAAAAATGCTAATGCTGGTCAATATTGCTGCCTACAAAATTTGATCTTATGCTCATATTTTCATGACTACATTTAACTCTGTTTGGTTGTATTGATCTTTACTTTGTGGATATCAGTATGATTTTATGGCTTAGTCAATTCCAAGCATGTGCACCAAAATTTAACCCACCAAAAAATCCCATGCCGAATTTCGTAGGTAGCCATAAAAATTTCCAGAAAGCATTAAATGATGTAATACAAAAAATAGAAACATTAGTTTTGAATACCCAAAAAAATCCCTACTTGAATAAAGCTCCCCAAAAAGTATTTGCCAAAATTTTCCTTCTCAAAAAAATCCCAAAATTGCAAATTTCAAACCCAAACAGTTCCTTCAATCATCCTTGTCACTTGAAATCCAGAGGAACGCATTCCAATTGAAGCTCTTCAATAGTTCTGCTCTCTGCACGTTAAAACTGCTACAAAGGAAATATCTCTTGTTATTTTGCACTGGTCTTTAGTATCTAATTCACAGTTCAAGTAATCACTCTAATCCCACATTTAGCTAGCGCACGCAGAATTATGTGAATTACCGGTATGCGAACTTCGATGTAAACACTTCATTTGCACTTCAATGAAATTCCTTTAATTTTTCTTTGAGAATCAAGAGAACAAGTTCCACATTTCTCATTTTTAATTTTTGATTTTTTTATATTGAAACGACCTAAATAACTGAGCCTCTTCTAGAATTGAAAAAGTCTACAATCATCCATCACACAAACTTTCAACCAAAATCTGCATTTACGTATGGGGTTTTCCCAATGAAGTTTTTGGAAAAATTACAGTCCCAAATAGAGATGAGTGTTCGGAAACAGTAGTTATTGTTGATGCAATGCAATAGAAGTTTCATTCCAGGAAAAACTGGATGGCCTGTTTTAAGTGTGGTTGAGAGATAATTGTCAGAGTAAGCCATTCAGTCATTTTAGGAACCCGTTTGGAAATTTTGATGAGCCGTTTCGAATGGGTAAGTAAGCAGTTCACCCATTTGTGTTACCCGTTCGAAAAACTTTATAACCTGTTCAGTCATTCGAAGAACCCGTTCAAACAGGATGAGTGAGCCTTCGCACATTTGTGTTAGCTGTTCAAAAAACTTAAAAACCCGTTCTGCCGTTTAATGACCCCGTTCAAACAGAAGAATGAGCCGTTTGCAACCTGTTCGGAAGCCGCGCCTTTCACCTGTTTAATAGAAAGCCGTTTGACACATTTGCCTAATTTAAACCTGGCTTTCTAGGTATTAAGCCTTGAGATGTCGTGTCCACCTCCAAATTCGATTGCGATGGTGGGGGGTTCCATTTTGATTCTTTTAAACATTCATGTAGTGTTGCACAATATGTCCCTTTTTTCTGACAACTGATATTTCATGTCTGGTGACCATTTTACAATTTTAGGTTGCCAAAAGGCGACTTTGAAAAAAGTTGAGCTTAGAGCATTGTATTGTAAAAAATCTCACATGTCAGTCTCAGCACATTAATTATTTTAATACTACAAACAGAATAAGTTTCGAGGACCTAGGGTCACCCGACTGTACCATTCTCTTAGTTCATTCTAAATTGTTTTCAAAGGGTACTAAAGAAAAAGTTGGTTGCAGCAAATCGACTTTATGATGCAGCAAAATCACTTTGTAGCCAAAAGACCATAAACCCAACTGTTTCAGTGTAAAACTCGATGAGAAGCGCGTTTCTTTTGGCTTCTTAGCTTAAAGAATGAGGAATACACATGAGTAACGTCCTTATTTCTGCTTGTGGCTAAAAGACGCGTGAAAAGTTCTGACTGTATTGTGGAAAGATCTGACTACTAAGTGGAACAATCTGGCTTATAACTATCTGACCATGGAACGAAGTGACTGGATACCCTTTGTCACGAGATTCCCACTAAAATCTTAAGCTAGTAACGTGGACCATAACGTGCAAACGGACCCATAAACTCCCAACATTGTTGGACCATCCCTTTGTACCCATCTGCAGAGTATGGCAGAACTCGACCAGATCTCGCACGTGCAAGGCCGTTTTTAGGCCCTTATTTCTTATATATTTTTAAAAAAAACTCGCGCGTGCACCTGCCATACTCTACACGGAGACTGGCGGCTTTGCACGTAGCTAAACGTTTCACCAGTTTTAAACTTTGCACAACAGCATGCAACAGGGTGTGCAAACGGACTCAACATGTAACATCCAACAATGTTGGGAGTTGCTGGCCTTCATGTTGCGACCGTTTGCATGGGGCTCTAAGTACCTCTCTATCCAGACACTCGCACAATAGTCAGCGCATTCCGTGGATGAAGCAGACACCACTCCAAACAAAATCCGAGACAACAGAGATGATAAGCATGGTTTAGCCATGTTCTCTTCATGCAAAATACCACTTGCCAAGAGTCTTCGTTCTAGGATAAAAACAGCAGCAGGTCGCAAAGATTTGTGAAATGCCAGTGTAGTCCGCAAGCACTTTAAAGTAATATCCGTTTCTTTGAGGACATAAAGAAGTTCTTTGACCACATTCTGATGTTGGTTAGGGCACTTGAGGGCATTATCGAGCAAAGAATGTATTAATTTTAGAGCTAGGAAATCGCATTTTTCAACAACTGCCTCCGCCATAACGATTTGCTTGACATGCTTTCCGCTGGCTTTGATGATCGATTTGCAGATTTTATCTAATAACCAATCAGCGACGCCCAAGAAACGGCGTCATCCGTTCGAAAAATGGCGGACAACAGAAAAAGCTTTACTCCTTCGATTGGAGAAGTTCATTCAACTGGTAGTGTTCCTTCGTCCACTTTTCATTGGCATTTATTTAATTAAGACACCGAGACGTTTACAGTATTCCCATTTCTGTTTTCACTTCAGAACTTATGCGCGAGAAACTTGAAAGATGGCGTCGAATGACTGGAAGGAGGTCAGCAGCAGTTGTCAATTCCTCGTCTGTTTACAACCGATCACGATCAGCTGTTTTGTTAAACATCAATGGGAAGAACAAGAAAGGAAAGGAAAGGTGAGGAATGGATCCTGCTAGCTTACATATACTAATTACTTTTTTGTCTCCCTGGTTAGGCTTTGATACCTGCAAGATTTGTAAAATTAGAACCGACGAAATTAAATTGTAAAGTGCACATTGTGAAGAAGCTTGAAGACATTCAATGCAACGTCAGCTTACGCTAATCCTACTAGCAGCTGAAAGCTTATCCAGCTTTGTTTGGTTTAAATTTGCTTTTAAGGAAGTTAAAACATGTCATTATTTGTATTATGCCTGTGGGCCAGTACCCTGCGAGCAGAGGCCCTTCGATCTTCCTAGATAAGTCGGGAAGAGGAATACCCTGCGAGCAGAGGCCCTTCGATCTTCCTAGATAAGTCGGGAAGAGGGTCCCTTCCTCTTCCCGACTTATCTAGGAAGATCGAAGGGCCTCTTATCTAGAAAGATCGAAGGGCCTCTGCTCGCAGGGTAGTGGGCCAGCAATAGACTGCAGCAATAGCCTGTGTTTTTCATAAGGTTTAAATATTGATGTCTCTCACACTTTCTTTGTATTATTTTCTGGTATTGCATTAGGATTATAAAAGGATCACAGTCCAGTTCACAACTTAAGGTATTATAGTATACTAGTAATTACCGGTATGTGTCATCTCGTTATTCCTGAAGGAAAAGAGGGATGGGCTGAGGTGTGGACCTTGCTCATCGTTGCCAGCCCCTGGTAGGGAATTTTGGTCAATTTTGAACTGAATGTAGATCAAGTGTGAGAAGAAAATTCACCAGTGTAAAAGAGTATGAGGGTTTTGACCAACTCTTGGTGTCAAGAATGTGATAAATTTTTGCAGTTTATACTATCATCATTATCATAATCAGATCATTATCATTATCATCATCATCATCATTATTATCATTATTATTATTATTATTATTATTATTATTATTATTATTATTATTAATATTGCTTGATTCTCTCCAGTTCTCAGGTGTTTTTCTAGGTCTTCTGCGCCATGTTTCAGCAGCCTCCCACTGCGTAGAGACATAACACTTTTTGCAAGATAATACGCAATACCAAGGACAGCTGGCAACTGTACATGCCCATAAATGTCAGGCAGGCTTAAGGTGGCTCGATATAGTTTTTCAAGGTCAATACATCCCAAGTTTGAGCGTAAGCTACGTCGCCATAAGCAAAGATTTGGAAAAATTGACACCACAGTTGTATTAGACAAAGATGAAAATTTGTTATGATCAGGGTTGCAATGACATCAGAGTTGTCATAGCAACGAAATGACGCCATTACCTATTTTACTTGCAACAGTATTTCTAGGCACTGGGAACTGTTTTTCCAAAATCGTTTACTGGAGCTTTTTCCCACGATAGCCGCCTCGATGTTCGTGAAGTTTAAGCGAAATCTGTAAGAGCGTTATCGAGATATTTTGGGAAGAAGTTTTTATGCTTAGAAATACGGTAAAAAATGGACAATCTTGATGTTCCACTGTTATCTGTACTAAACAAAGCGCTTTTGACATGCAATTTCACCTCATAGTAGTTTCAATCTTTTTAAAAACGTGTGTGAAAGATCATGGAGATACCTTCAGCCGATTGCTAGAAACAAGGATTTGATTAGTATGTATCGAGGCGCTCTTATAGCGGTAATGTAAACATTTCGGTCTACTTTAACAAATTAGCGAATAATTGTTAAACCGCTCGATAATTTTTTTTAGAAAATTTAAGACTCTTGAGATAAACTGTCCTTTTATATGACCTCTTAGTTTCAAGATTATTGATATACTGTAAGGCAGTAAAATAAGGGCTTGAATTCGATAATATTTTGTCAAGAGTTTTGTGTTTACAAGTGATAGCCTCTCATTATTCAGGGGTATTGTCTCCAAAATTCATATTTTCGTGCACAACAATAGCTAGCATTTTTGCATTTGTCAAATGCATTGTTAGTTACTGCTGTTCACGTGAAAATGAAACCTTGAGACAATACCCCTGAATAATCAGAGACTCTACTTGTAAAGACAAAATTTCCGACAAAATATTAGCGAATTGTAGCCCTTATTTTACTGCCTTACAATATATCAATAATCTTGAAACTAAGAGGTCATATAAAAGGACAGTTTATCTCAAGAGTCTTAAATTTTCTAAAAAAATTATCGAGCGGTTTAACAATTATTCGCTAATTTGTTAAAGTAGACCGAAATGTTTACATTACCGCTATAAGAGCGCCTCGATACATAATAATCAAATCCTTCTTTCTAGCAATCGGCTGGAGGTATCTCCATGATCTTTCACACACGTTTTTAAAAAGATTGAAACTACTATGAGGTGAAATTGCATGTCAAAAGCGCTTCGTTTAGTACAGATAACAGTCGAACATCAAGATTGTCCATTTTTTACCGTATTTCTAACCATAAAAACTTCTTCCCAAAATATCTCGATAACGCTCTTACAGATTTCGCTTAAACTTCACTAACATCGAGGCGGCTATTGTAGGAAAAAGCTCCAGTAAACGATTTTGGAAGAACAGTTCCCAGTGCCGAGAAATACTGTTGCAAGTAAAATAGGTAATGGCGTCATTTCGTTGCCACGACAACTACGATGTCATTGCAACCCTGATCATAACAAAGTTTCATCTTTATCTAATACAACTGTGGTGTTAATTTTTCCAAATCTTTGTTTTTAGCAACGTAGTTTACGCTTAAACGTGAGAGGTATTCACTCAAAAAAACTGTATCGAGTCACCTTAAGCTAAGCTAGCTCGACTGCAGCATGACACTAGCATGACTTGGTTTCAGACATTGATTTTAATGCAGTTGAATAGAACGGCTATTGCCAAAAACAAAACACAAAAATAAAGAAACGGTTTAGCAAACTTTTAAATGTATTCTCATGTATTTATAATTTATGAATTGAGTTTGGCACAGGGCACAGCAGTTATAGCACATTTGAAACCAAGTCGAGCTACTGCCGTGTAGCCCTGCAAGGTCGTGCTACTGCCATGCTAAAGTCAAATTTAATTCGATCAATTGAGTTCGGCACAGCAGTAGCACAGCATTTGAAACAGGCCTTAAAGTCTTTGCATTCTTTTAGATAGATGTTATTATAGTAGTAGTATTAGCATTATTATTATCATTATTCTTATTATCATCTTAATTATTATCATTATATTAGGATCACAATTTTACAAGATTTTCGTATTTTTAATGCGCACACAGGACATAATAGAATTGGTGATCAATCAGTGGAGTCAGAAGGCCTTAGTTGTCCAAAAAGGTGAAAAGAAACAATTTTTACTCAACAGAAAAAAGCTCCCCTTACTAACCAAAGCCTAGAGAATAATACTGCACTTGGAGATGCTGGTACAAAACAGTACAGGGACAAAACTCTAAGCATGAGGTGTGTATCATTTATCACTATTGTTCTCTTTTTTCAATTTTTGTGACACTTACTGCACCTTAAAAAAAGACTTTAATGTTGGTCAAATTCAATTCACCAACTGCAAGCAAAATTCTCAAACATTTTTTCATGAATTGTTTGTGTAACAAGTTTCCATTTTCCACGCTTTCAGTGAGAGGCTTAAATTGTGGAGAACTGAAAAGAGGTGAGTAAATCAATTTGTCATAAATTTGAAATGTATATGGCCTGAACATCCGCTTTTAAAGTGGACACCTCCTGGATGGACGCTTAGTTATTGTTTCCTGCAATAAATCAGGCACTTTCCTGCTGTGTCCTGCTAAAGAAGTTTCAACTGCATGTACTAGGTTCGATGGATTGTGCTCATGAAACAGAGTAATATATTTGCTTTTTGGTGTCATCTTGAATTATACTCAAAACTATGCTTGGTTGTAGCCATATTGTGCCTTAAAAATTATGCAGGGGAAAAATGACATGTTTCCCTTTCTTTTTAATTTGGAAGCCTGACATAATGACTATGTCAAAGTGCAGGTTTTTTATGATTACAGGTCACTTGATTATTGATGTAGGTAAACTGACCAAATAGTTTTCCATTGAGAAAAACCAGGGCTCAAAGAAAAGTTTAATTTCAACTTATCCTTAGCTTTGGGCAAATGGCACTCACTTTTTGCCTGCTAAGGGCAACTTTTTGCTTGTCTCACCCCATTATGGGGGGGTTGACCCCAAGGAATCCTTGAGCAAATCCCCCCACCCTAGAGTAATAATATTATTTCTCCACAAAAAGCTACACCTTAGCCCTTCACCTAAGGAAACAGTTGCAGTAAATCAATAAATCAAGGGACTTTCAAATTGCAATAAAAATTAATTTTTTTCTTCTTGTTTCGTAAAAATACTCCGTTATTGTGTGGTGGTATTAAAGCTTGATGAAAAATCAGCAAATAAACTAGTTCACTCTGGGATTAGCCTGTGTTGCAGACATAATTTTTTACCCTGGTTAATAACATTAGTATTGAGCTGGCATTATGCATGATGCTCCAGATATGTACATATTTCATGTATACTCAAATTTTTGCCCGCATAATCTGTGAGACCATAGTGCCTTTGTTTGTATCTAATCATGCTTTTTGTAGAAGTGATGTTGGACAATAGAAAGCCCTTTTTACAATAAAATTTACATGTAAGTACCCTTGTAATAAGTTACAAATGATTTCGATAATTCACAATTTGTCTCTTTAATTTACCTGTAATTCAGAAAAAGCAGCCAGGACAAGCCTGCTGAGAAGCAAAGACAACAGTTAACAAAAGTTCAGAGAAAGTCGGATAGTAAAGAAAATACAAAACATTACCAAAAACTGTAAGTGAGAATTAATTGATTAAATTACATGTATTAATCTGAGTTCCCTCACAAGTAGTCAGATTTGACTTCAATTGATTACCACCAGGGTTACCACGGTTGCCTATTTTCATATTACGATTCCATTTTTAAAGAGCATGCATAATGATAGAAGTATTTATTATAATCGAAAACCTCCATTTTCGGCCGCCCACAGTTAAATGAAAAGGCCCTTTTTTTTAAAGACTTCCACCTTGTGGAGTGTTCTTGAAAAGACGCATTTTCCGTGAGCCTTTTCACCGGAAATGTGTGGACAATAGGCGCAGCCAAACCAGTGATAAACCTCCCTTTTCACACAAAAAGGGCCGATGTGTGTGGTCGGGACCTGATGCGGGTAATGGTCCTTCAACCGTTAGTTCTATGCCTTGTAAGACTCGTTACCTTACAGCAGTCCTTGCACACCCAACTGCTTAGGTGCCCCAATTGGCGGGGAAGTTTCTAGGGGCCGAGGTTCGATTCCTGGGCGATTTTGGTGTACCCTTCTTGGAGTCACTCGGCAGAACCATTGCAATCCAGCTCTGTAAGTATGCTGGAGCCATCATTTAGCCATTGGACTGACCATTGCAGCATTGGCTGTGGCTCCATGGCTGAGGACGCCCGAAAAAAAAAACACGTGCAGACGGGGCCTAATGCACCTATCAATGTAAATCCCGTAGCGGGGGGGAGTGCGGGCAAGGGGAGGGTTTTTTGATGCCTGAGACTATCCCCCTGTCGGGCTTTTGATCGTGCGAAGCGACCCCAGGGTCGGGACATTTGACTTTGACCGATTGAAGCCTGGTATCAATTCAGAAGCGGTTACCAAGTCCGTCCCTCGA